TCCCAATAATTCTTTTGGTTTGATGCTTGCATTGTGTACGCACCGTGCATTCAAACTCTTAGAGACATTATAATTTGAAAACAATTATTTTGAGTGAAAAGTGAATATTTTTTTCCTTTCTTTATTCATTATTCACCTTTACTTTTTTTTATAAACTAAAATGCTTTTCGGCATGTGTACTTGTGCGTTTGTATATTGTTGGCCATTGCTTGGGTATTCGGTGCGGCATCATGTTTTCTCTTTTTTTTCATTTATTTATTTAATTTTTGAACCACAATTGAATGGAAGACTTTTCAAGCGATTTTCCCTGCAATGATCTTTTCAATGGTCGGGTTTCATAGTGGCTTTTTTATTGTGAATTTATATGTTATTTATCAATTGATTAATCTATACATACACATTTTATGATACAAGTTAAATCAATCGAATGCAAATTGTATTGTATTGATTAATGCAATAAAAAATATAGACATTTTCACAGATCTTGAAGATCTGAAACGATTGAAAACCTTTCTTGACGTCGATTATCCGTCGAATTAATTATTTCATATGCGTTTATTTCATGGAATTTTCGTATTTCTGATAAAGCGATGAAAACGCAAAAAATAAAATCATATTTAATCAAACGGAATATCGAACAAATATGTTCATGTACACTTGTGGCCATTATTTAATCGGTATGTACGTTGTAATCAAATGCTGGCCATCAACAAAATACATTTTAATAGATGGTATTGATTCGCTTAATTATATAATCATGACTAAAAAAAACTAATTTAGTGATTATATCAAAAAAAGGAAAAGTGGCCGGTTTTCTTTTCATATGTTATAATCAAGAATGACACACCGTTGCAAGCGTGTCTGACTTTGTCGCGCAACTAAATAAAAGTCCATTTATTGAATGACCAAAAATGTGTTGCCCAATTTGAACGACTACAAAACAATGGTGCTCAGCCAAAACAATACACATCAATAATTCATAATACACAAAATTCGTTACACTAATTTCTGTTGATATAATGCCATTAAAAGTATTTCATTAATTTTTTGTCGGCTCGCACAAATGAAACACACAATTTTCAAGAGGGAGTAATCAACAGAAGCCGAACTTCCTCAAAGGAGCAAATATTACTGGTGTGATGTGTTGTTACATTAGTCAGACAATAGATTCATATCGAGATAACTACATCAACAGTCAAACTGAGTTTCAATTCATTTTCGTTGCTTTCATGCCTGCTAACATTAACAAGACAAACGAATTACATAAAATTCAACACTGTTCATTTATAAATAAATTTATGTCGATGGACATTCTCTATATTAATAATAGTTTATTTTGAATGTCGAAGTTATTTTTTTCTTTCATCTAAAAATTTAAAACGTTTTCTTTGGAAATATATTATGATTTATTTTATGAGATAAGGTACAAATGATCTTAAATGAGACGAAATCATCCATTGACAATAGGAAATAGTGCAGTTTATCCTGTTGAATCACACAATCCCCATCCATCCATCGTCGTTATCCCCATCCATCTGATTCGAAGTATTCAATTCATTGACAGCAAAGCAACTCAGTTTGTCACATGTTCTCACATTGGCATTTAATTGATATTTAGTGTCTTTGGGGAACGTAAATGACCATTTGACGTGACTAAAGCACAAAATTATACAAAGCCAAAAACGAACAAACGAACATTTTTGTGTCGAGAATCGAATATATCAAGGTTAAAAACCGATAGAACAAGAAAACCTTAAAATCTGCTTGTCATTCAATGGTACACCGTTTACTTGAAAAACAGTCGAAGCAATTCATGCAACGTACAACTTCGAAAAATGTTTTAATTCAACGGAATATTGAGTGAATTCGATTGATTCATGTGTCAATATTTAAATCGTTTACTATCATCAATTGGCCGGATCATTGGGCTTTTTCAAACATTTCGAGTGCTAAAGATTTTTTTTTATTGGCTTTGCTTTGTAACGTGGACGAAATCGGCCAACGGTGTTTCGAGGACAAATTTTTTTTTTTCATTTCAAATGCTAAACCCAGCCTAATGGTAAATGAAAATGAACAGATACACTTTTGGAATGCTGTAATATTGTGTACGTTTGGTGGCCGATGTGATTGCTTGGACGATGTGCAGTACATGAATCGGTATGATAGTTTGGTGTAGTTTTTGTGCTAGTGATTGTGTGTATGTTCTATATATTAATTCGGTATGTGCGTGTGCACGATGAAGTGACTCTTCTGTTCAGTGGTAAAAGGTAAGTTTTTCGTCGTTACTGTTGCTATTATTGCTGTTTTTCCGGTGAAATGTGTAAATTTTGTTGTTGATTTGCCGAAATGGGCTGTTGCACGCGCGAGACAGAGAGCACAAAATGACTTGTTTCGACATAAAAACCGATAATAATGTTGTATCAAATGGTAATGCACAAGTTAATTTAAGTACGTATTATATTTATTAAGTTAATGATCGTAATGAACTCGACAGTTTTATTATTAGACATTTTGTTTAGATATTTCTGATCAGGCAAATGAAACACTTGTAGACATTCGAAAGTCATGACATTTTCATGTGTTGGCTCTTTTATTTCCATTTTCATTTTCTCTTCTTTTTTTTTGGTTCAATATTCAAATGTATTTTGGATGTGAAATTCACATTGTAAATGTGCACTATATGTATACCTCATTCATTCATTTTTATTCTTTTTCATGATGAAAGCTACAGCATATTTTGTCCATTCCTTTATCGAGAATCGGCGGAGACGACAACGACGAAGGTGGAGGTTCCAAGTGACATTTTCATTTTTAACGTGTGTGTTTTTTTCTTCATATAAATTAAACCTCGTGGTAACCTTCTACCATGCGACATTTTCGTACATGACTGAAGAAAAAACCATTGCCCTCAGATTCGATTTTGTTATAACGAATTTTTTCACGCAATGGCCACATTGGCCGCATATTAAACATCTCGTAATCATGTTCAAGTTGACACACAAACCACTTCATTCGGTTATTTTTGTTTTTCGGTTTATTTTGTTTGTTAATCTTTTGGCTCAGGTTGTGTCATGCAAACACGATTTTTCATTAATAGGTGTAGTTTTTCTTAAATTGCCCTTACAAAAACCACATTAATTTCATTTTATTTCCATTTTGTTTGTGAGCGCTCTCATGCTCTTTGCTATATTCTGTTTTGCTTGCGTTTACATTTCGGGACTTTTGTATTCAGGTGTCAATGTGACGTTTTTATTATTTTGATAGAAAATATGAGTTTGTTCTGATTGCTCATTGAGCATATTGAACGCAAAACATTGCTAACGAAAAAATAAATTTAACCATTTGCATCGATTAATTGCGCGACGATTACTGAAAATGTGCTTTAGTTTTTTTTTTTTTTTTTTTGACATTTTTTACAACAATATCGAAATACATATACCATGTGCGCTAATTTGATTTCATCAAGAACAAAATAAAAAGCACACGACGCGATTGTAAATATAACAGTATAGCACCAAATCTAGTAATTACCATCGGGACAAAACTAAATGCGATGCGTACACGGACAGCACTCCTTTTTCTTATTGCCTAATGAATTCATTAGGTTTGTATTTGCTTTGATTTAATGATTTCTTGTGCAAACAGAACACGATTCAATCTTGAATTAAACAACACATTCACCACACTTCAATTGTTCTTAGTGGATACTTGGTGCTTTTGTTTCATTTTCATTTGTGTGGCGAGAAGAATAAATGGGACGGCAACGATTGTATCCATACTATCGATTTTGTCAAGCAAATAATAATGAATGGCATTTTATTTCCGGTGTAAACTGCATCATAAATTACTGTATCGACTGATTTATTCCAAGAGAAAAGAATCAACACGCATTATTTTGAGTGCGATAATGTAATATTGAGTGAGCAGTAAGCAAATACATTGTGATGTGATAAGATCGTTGATGAATTTTGATCAACTTTCGAATTTTCGAGAGAAAAAAATGGTTATAATTTCAAGGGCAATAAAAATGGAATGAATAGTATGTACGAAGCAGTGAATATGATCTAAGTGACAGCTGTGTCAAATGAAATCGGAGGCAATTCCCTCCATTTCCCAAGTGTAAAGAATTTCACCAAAATCAATACCATTTAGTTGATGGGTGTTCGTTGTTGTGACTGAATAATTTTTTACCAAAAATTATTATCGATCGAATTGATTAGCAGCCATACAGTGAGCAATGATCATATTTATTTTGATTCTCATCAAAGCGAGCTATCTATTTTTTTTAAAACATTAATACAAAGAAAATGAATTTTATTTTAATGACAATTCATTTGGTGTTCGTTAGTCACCCCAAATACAAATTATCCGAAATGGTTGTGTAGAATTTTGTCGAAATCGGGTGCATGGAAATAATTCAATGTGAAATTTGATTGTCACCATTATCTGCTCATGAAAAGTTCACGTATAGATATAGTCAAATAGAACCGAAATGTTACGAAATTCATTGAAAATTCATTCGTTTCGGTATCTATGTATTGAATTCCATCTTGGTTGCCGCAATTTTCACACGCAGACGTCGATTTATGAAAACGTAGAGAAATATAGAAAATGACGTGTGAACTACGTTCAAATAGGAATAAAAAAAAAAAACAAAACAATGCTACAACAAGGAGCAACAACATCAACAGCAGCAATAACAGCCAAAACTTCTACCCAAAGTTGTACATTACAACACGATTCGTTTCATTTTCAATGACTCTTTGAGTGTTAACTGTCACATAAATGAATGCCGTAAAATAGTCGCTTTGACGCACAATCAATGCTATGATGGTAAAGACGAGCACGGTGAGCATCGCAAATGAAATGGAACATGACTACACCTAATGTAAAGAAAATAAACTTGAAACATCAAACCACTTCTGTTGATTTAAAAGTTACCTTTTTGAAAAATTTATTCGATTTGTGCCCTACGTTTTTTGGCCGCACCCTACCTATACCATCTATCTGTTGGCATTGTTCAACGTGTGCAATGGTTCATTTTTTTTCATGGGTCGCTTCGGCATTGTCGCAACGAGAGAGGATTGCATTGAATTGAATTCGAAAAAAGGAGATAGCATGAAGGGAAAACTGTTACAATGCGCCCTATGTTTTTACAATAGTCGTCGTAAAAATTAGCCGGTGACAATGCTTGCACACATGCACGAAAACAAATTCAATGCTATATTCAAGCATTCACAACAAACAATTCACCAAAAATGAATCGGGAGAGAGAGAGAGAGAGGGAGGGAGAGAAGAGAAAAAAAAACTTCAAACGTTGACAAAGAATAGATTTAAACACAAAAACAGAAAGAGAAATCAACGCTTCAGACCACCATGTTGAAAAGAACAAAGAGAATACAAAAATCACGAGTAAAAAAATGCGATCTCGTATCGAAATACACAGACTCACAATTCCCGTCTAAATATAATGGTTTTAAATCAAAATCCTAAACAGAAATACACACAAACACCAGAAATTATTTCGATCAAAGCCAAAATACGCGTGTAACCCCTTATATACATTCAATGCATACAAACGAGCGCACACACAACAACAACAGCAACGAAAAAAAAATACAGCATTCACCAAACATATGCATATCAGAGAAATGTTTACGTGGAAATGTCTATTTGACGATCGAATTGAAGCGATGCTCAGCGGTTGAACTCAGTTGTGTTTGCGTGTACTTTCATCTATTGAATGCTATAAATTTTTAATGTGGCAGAAACAAACAGACGCACCACCAAACAATGATACGCATACGTAGATGTGTTTAAAAAAAAACGATGGAATTATCGTCAATTGGCTAATGCTAATGGCACTCGTTCAAATAAAACACCGAATTCACATTGTTGAACGTGTATGTTGTGAATGTACGGAAATTAGAGCGTCGTCCCCAGAATATAGTATCTAGTCCTTTTGGCTATTGGCAACATACGTTTAAAATGAAGAGGAACGCATCCAGCGTCATAGATAGAGTGAGTGTGAGAACTGTGTGTGTGTGTGTGTGCGTGTGAGTGAAAATCTGATGAAAATGATGGCAAGCGGAAAAAAGGTTGAAAGGAAACATATGAAAGACCATCAAGTCCTCTTATGGTTAGTACTTGTGCACTTATTTTAGGGATTTTCGTGTTTTTATTATGTTTTATCAATTGAAAAATACACAAACATACGTAAAGCAAGCAGCATTTATGCAACAGATTTAAAGCGATTTCATCGGGGTCGTCAACTAGTTGATTTTTATGAATTGAATTAATTTTCATTTTAAATAGTTAGTTCTTATTTTTTTTTTCATTGCATTTTCTGCTCGAATTCATCTCCCTTTGCTCTTATGCAATTCCAAATGGATTTTTGATGCGAATAATATGTATATTTGTTCAAACGGCAATGTTTGTGGTTATGTTGAACTGGGGATATTGTTTATACTGTATATATTTTCTTTTATGGTTTATTTAGTCAAAGTCAAATGAAAACATGACCACAAAGTCGCATTGAATGTTATTACATACCAACTATTGATTCAGTATCATACACGATTGTGTAAAGATGTGTAACCTATCTCAATGCATCGATTACATCGAAATCATTCCAAAGATGCTCGATTGATCTGATAATTATGTAGAAAATGAAAATTGCAAAACATACCAGGATCTGTGTCTAAGCCATGAGGTGGTTGTTGTGATAATGGTCCAGGTGTGCTCCCACTACCGGGTGATCTTACATCATCGTTCATTGCTCCAACATATGACAATGACGAACTTGGCGGCCGCTAAAAATTTGAAGAAAAAAAAAGAATAAAAATTCGATTAAATCAAACTTTTTTTTTAAACAGAAAACTTAAAGCCAAACAAACATAAAATGCAATCTTGTTAATATTTCTTAGAGCATGTACATGTAAACGCGTTCTCACCGTAACCAGTGGTTCATAATGACGGCAAAACTTGACGGAATATAAAACAAAGAGAAACCAAAAGAAATATGGAATTTACTTGTTACTTGTCAATAAGTAATTAAGTTGTTCATATCTGCGTGCAATTCATTAAAAATGCATAATTTCCATCTCCATCCAACTAAAATGAATATGTCACGTTTCTTACAGATAACAATTGACATGTCATAACAATCATAAATAAATTCTTAATTCGGTTGAAAGATAATTGAAAAATTTTCACACACAAAAAAATAAATAAATAAATAAACGAAAATATGATTGAATGTTGGAAATACAATTGATAATCACAATCATTTTGGTTGGTTCAAATTAAAACAATTTTCTCTTAATATGGTACAATGGTGCATTATTGGATGCATTTTTAACGAATCAGTTTCCAATTTCGTTTGTTGTTTATATATTTTGGCAATGCAAAAAACAAATGGTACGAGAAAAATGTATAAGCACGATTTCATGGAATGATATTTTTTCTTCTTTTTTTCATAAAAGCATAATATGAAAAAGAAGAAGAAGTGGACAAATAAACAATGTCGATGTATTGAAAATGCAGTGGCGAATAAGAATATGTGAAATGCACATTTTATTCAAAAGATGGTCAAATACCAAATGAACTTGCATAAATGCGCAATAGTTTGCGAGCGAGAGCGAGTAAAAGACACAAAAAAACCACGTGCCCAAGACCATGGAGTAATTTCACGAATGTTACATTCAAGAAATTTAACCAATTTATTTTTTATGAATAATAAATCAGTTTCGTGATTCGGGCATGCTTCATGTTTTATACATAATTTAATTGTTTTTTAATTTTTTTTTATAACGATCGATGTCGTCAACGGCAATTGTTCGTGCTTATTCTGAGATGATTTTCCGAAAACCAATTATTAAAAATTGATGATATTTCTACTAGCTGAAAGTAGTGAAGAATATGACGGTATTTGGCATTGTGTGGCAAATGCAAAAGTAGAAACTACTTGTTTTGCAGCCAATTGCATATTTGTCTCATTTTCACCGAATGAATTTTGTGTTGGCGCAAACGAAAAGCTTGTGTTGCTGATGGTTTGTCGTTGTTTTCGAATATAGCTGATTAATATTTTGTATGTTACTCGGCTTTTTGCCAGTCATCATTGTTAAACTTATGACATATTGGTCGTCAGTGTTTGAGCATTTCTATCCAGAATACGGAATCGGTAAGGCGACTTTTGCTTTTACCTTTCGATCGAACAAACGAAGTGAAGAAGAAAAAAAAAACACATGTGCACCGAAAATGAATGAGAAATATCTTTTCACTGTCGACAAATAAATGACAAACGGATAAGTTCACATCAGCATTCTTTTGGCTCTGCGGTACCGTGTTGTTTTTTTTTTGTCATTTCTCATTCGCTATTCCTTTTTCGCTTTGCAAGCCATTGGCCATGCATTACAATGACATAATGCATTTTGTGATATGAACGCCAATTAACCTGCTTCTAATATGAATGGCTTTGTTCGCACGTGAAATGCAATATGAATTTTAAATTGGCAGTGCTATAAAAATATTTCGTTAATTCAAGCGTTTGCGACCATTGTCCATGCATCAATTCTTGAACCTCGTGTGTTGGAGCATTATTTCACATGGAACCGGCACGGAAACATTCGATGTGTTTGCTTGATACACACATTCTTAATAAATCAAAACTTTGGTGAAAGGGAGAGAGAGAGAGAGAAAGACACACAAATACTGCGAAAAAAGTCAGAAAAGCCCATGCGATATAAAAGTGGCAACGATAGCTTCATGTCCGCATTACATATGGTTATGAAATTCATTCGAAGCATAAATGCGCATAGTTTTCTTTTCGAAATTCTTGGCAAATTTGCTCATCACAATCACAATTGGCTTCGATGTCGAACATTTCCTTTCTTTCTTTATTCAGTTCGTGTTTTCGATTTTCTTTTATTCATTTTTTTCTTTGGCGTACGTTCTTCTTTTATCAGACTCGCTATGAGCATGTGTTGTTTGTAGTTTTCTTCTTTCGTTGATGTTTTTTTTTTTCATTATCAATTTTTGTTGCTGAATGATATCTCCACTAGTATGAATTATGTATGTAAACGAAGACATCGAAAATTTTAATAATTTGCTCAAATGTGCCTCAATGGGACGCATGAGAATGAATTGCCTGTGAAATGCATACATATTTCGAGAATGAAAGAATCAAAATAGGCTTTTTTTTTTATTCGATGCATATAGTGTTAGTGCTTGCTTCATTCCATTCTACTCATTTCGTTCGTTAATTTCTCGTTTAGAGTTTCTGTGCTGTGCATTTTCGATTTAGCTGACATTCTTCAAATCATAACAAATCAGATGTGCAGCGCATCAGCACAGTGGAAGATGATTCATCTAAAACTGCTTTCAAGTTATTTCGCAAACTCAAGATTATTTCTTTTTTATTGTTCAGTATGCAATTAAGTATGATGACCAGAGAATGGACTATGCGTCCATTAAGCAAAAACAAAAAAAAAACAGGCGAAATATATTGCAAGCGTGGCATGGCGCAAGAATCAACAGAAAATGATGAAATTCTTAAAATTTTATTTTTATGCGTGCGAATGCGAACGATGTGGTGTATGAGCATGTCAAAATAAGTAGAAGTATCCGAAAAAAAAACGATGACAATAATATACGGTTGCCACTAGGCTCCTTTGACCAAGTTGTCGCGACTCATCAACATTTTGACTAAATGATCGCGTCAACGTAAATCGATTCAAATTTACGTCAAATGTCACTTCGTAAATATTCCTGATCGATGAACGACAGTAGGAGTGGATTTGAGTTATCCATATGCACAGAGAGTCAAGTGTGCGTGAGAGCTATGAAGTACACGTTATAATGCCAACAAGAATGCCGCAGTGCAGTTAAAGTGGTTTTGTGGTACTGGATCGTTCCTTGTTGTGATTGAATGTTTCTGTAAAAAAAATTCATGATTTTATCGCGTATTTTTTTTCGTTGTTGTTTCGTTTCATCTCTTTCTTTTCTCTTTATTTTACATACTCTTATAAAAGTGTCCCGACCACAAAATCATCATCATCCCAGACAATAACACCAACCAATGACAAAATGTCTTGATTCATATTTCAACATCTTAGCGTCTCACACGCGGATGCCGAGAACCATTAAAAAAGAATTACCTCAAACTACGCTCTTTCTCCGTCTCGATAGGAAAATGAAAGAGAGTGAGCGCAGAAAAGTATGATGATGAAGAAGAAAAAAAAAATGAATAAAAATTTCTAAACCGAAATGTTTTTGCGTGCGGCGAATGAATCTAAGCTCATAAATTTAATTATCTTTTCATTTATATGCTTTTTATGACATGCAGGCGCACTTAAACACATGTATCAATTTGAGAGGAATGACAAGTGAGTGTAAAACTTGTAACTGGCATCATGCACATACTATTTACAGTGCGAAACCACCGCGAAATTCATGTGGTATGATTGTAATAATTTTTATGGCTTCAAGTTGAAAGAAATAACCAAACAGTGATAAAAACCTACTAGTTTCAAGTTGATTCGATGACAAGCGGCACGGGCTTTCGTTTTCCCGGCACTATGAGCGCACTACAAAAATTAATAACTTCTACAATCAACCATTTTGTGAATGCGTGAGCGTGATAATTTTTGTTTTTACTATCATATGGTTGAGCTACCGATCGATGTACTCGCTCATTTATTCATTCATTTATTTATTTATTTAATTAAATAATAGCTCCAATTGATTGGTAGAAATTTGTAAAAGTTATAACTCTTCACTCAACAATTAATCGCTGGTAATTATTTATTTAAAACTAAGCGTTCATACATTTGTTGACGTGAGCATAACGCAAACGGTGGATAAATGTGATGACAATTCAGTCCGTTCTGACAAATTTTGCGACATAAAAACTGATTGACCCGAACTAAATATTGCATGCTATTTCCACTGTACGGCTGATGACTTTCGTTGGTTTTATTTGTTGTGTTTTGTGTGTGTGTGTTTGTTTTTTTCCCTTACCGTGATTGCTAGACGCAATTCAAAGCCACTATTTAAAAAAAAGTAGTATTTGCTGCTGTGTTGGATGTCAAAATCAAATGTACTGTACACGCTGCCACTGAAATTGCTGATGTGCGTGTCAATATGTATTTAAGAAGGCGCAACAAACATATTGCTCTGCGCACACATTCAATGGTATTTATTTCGATAAATACACATTTAATATTCATAAGTACATCAATAAAAACATTTGTTGATTTTTCCGTACAAAAATAAACTCTCATTTCTCTATTTCTCTATTTCTCTCTCTCTCCCTCTATCCACACAATGCAAATAAATCCGGTCAAATAAAGAAAACAATGCCAATGTGGTGAGATGAAATTGAAGAGAGCGGAATGGAAATAAATGTAAATAAAATTGCCATTTGTTGACGTGATTTCGACTCGCTTTCAAATTATCATGCACCGCTGATGAAATTGATGAAAGCCAAGGGTTGATAGTCAGACACTTTCCCACACCGGCTTAACGTTAGGGGTATTTAATATTGCTTCGAAAAAGTGAAAGTATGTTTGATCAGTTCATTAGAATCAGAAAAATAATTCAACCATACTGAACATACGCTTTTTTCCTTGTCTGAATTGGAGTGTTTCGTGCATTTCTTTCTAAAAAAAATTCTATGGATCATTTATTATCCAAACAAAAATCTGACTAAAGTAAACATAGAATTCATTTCGGTTTGGCGTCAAATATATTCAACAAATAATTAACCGCGTTTCGCAACCAACCAAATTATCCAATTGTTTATTCGTTTTGG